CCATCCATCCACCCATCCATCCATCCATCCATCCATCCATCCATCCATCCATCCATCCATCCATCCAGTAGTGTGGCCCATATCTGAAGCCAGCTCTCTGTTAAATCAAGCCCTTTTGCCCAACTGACCAAACCTCCTTGTCCCACTGCTTAGCATCACATAGCCTGCATGTCTTCTTTCCCTAGCCTTTTAGAAATCAAGATCTACTTGGTCAGGGACTGACCCTTAACTTATTCTGCAGGCTCTCTGTCAGCTCAGGCCCATCAGAGTCTGTGCAGTGAGGGAGGCTCAGCGAGAAATCAGCGCAGCCTTTTTGGGGACCGTCAATAGCTGACTCTGTCAACTCCTCCCCTTGACTTGCCACAGCAGTGAGATCCTGCTGCCAGTGTCCGCCATTCCTCTGTTCTGACATGCCAAGAATGCAGGGAACACAAGATCTCCACCCTCTCGGGAGCTGGGTGGTAGCAAGCTCTACCCCCCAGCTTACTGCACATGTATCTCAAACTAGGTGTGTCTCCTACCAAGCAGCTTTCCCTCCCTCTGATCTATTTTCCCTCCACATTAAGTTGTGAAACCAATGCAGTAGCAAAGATATGGAGCCCAAGGTCAAACAAACCAAAGCAAAGTTTGTAACCATGGAAATGAAACTTCCATGTTCAGACTGATAAAGCCCAGGAAGCTTCTCTGACATTCACACTGATGGCCATCATGGTGAAGTTATCAAATGTGGGTTATGGCTACTAACACCTGTTATGACTGAACTTAGCAAAGAAAAACCCAGGCACTGTCCATGTTCTAAAATCCACAATGAAGCGCTAAAAGGTACAACTGTTGGTCTCTACTCATCTGGAACAAAACAGAAAGAAGGAAACTAAAGACTCAGAGAAGAAGCCAGTCTACAGGACTGATAATGAACTACATAAACCACAGCCTCATCTTCCAGAAGACTAGATGGTGCCCGGCTACCACAACTGACCGTTCTGGTCAGGGCCACAATCCATGGATCCTGATAGAATGGGAGAAAAATGTGGAACAGAGCTCAAATTCTTAAACAGCCCGGACTTACTGGAGAGGTTGAGACTAGACGACTCCCCAAGACTTTCGCCCTGAGATACTCTTTAAACCTTGAACTGAAACTACCTCCTGAAGGCACCTTTTAACTAAATAACAGATTGGCTCATAAAACAAAGAATATCATCCGTGAGTAAAGAGCTCCTTTTAAAAAATCATCTATAGGGGACCAAATGGTCAACAATTACTCTATAGCAAAGATGAGAAGGGAAGGGGGCAGGGAAACTAGAGTACTGGAAATGGTACAACCAGAATGGAATGAATGAGAACAATGACACGTTGTGAAAAATGTAACCAATATCACGGAATAATTTGTGTAGACATTGTTAAATGGGAGCCTAATTTTCTATGTAAACTTTCATGGTAAACACAATACAATATTATTTAAAAAAAAGAAGAAAAAAGAAATGCTAAAAGGTAAACCCATTCCAGGGCTGAGGACATTGTGTTGCTACATAGTTCAAGTCAACACACATTTACTGGGTGCTCAACGGTAGTTGTTGTTGTCCCATAGGGTTTTCAAGACTATAATCTTTATGGAAACAGATTTTCAGGTCTTTTTCCCACGGAACCACTGAGTGACTTTCAACTGCCAACCTTTCAGTTAACAGCCAAGCACTTAACCTTTGTGCCACCAGGACACTTATTAAGCACTTGCCGTGAGCTGGGCATAATAGTGAGCATTGTACCTGCACAAAATCATCTTGTCCTTGTAACAACCACATGGGGCAGGTACTTTCATGGTTACCATCTTACAAACAAGCAAACAGAGGCTTAGAGGGTTAATCCAAAGCCACGGAGCCAACATGTGGCAAAGCTGGGATTTGAACCTGGTCTGTCTGACGTGAACGTCTAGTTTTCTAATCACGAACCTCAACGACACTGTGCACCGTAAGTGCCAGGTGCTGCCCCTGCCGCTGGGAATACACGGAAGACAAAACCCGCTAAATTACACAGAGCGTTACTGAGGCCCTACTAGACATGCATCCAAAAGCTGGACAGTGAATAAGGAAGATTCAAAAAGAACTGATGCCTTTGAATTATGGTGTTGATGAAGTATATTGAATATACCATGGACTGCCCAAAAAAACAAACAAATCTGTCTTGGAAGAAGTACAACCAGAATGTTCCTTAGAAGTAAGAATGGCAAGACTTCATCTCACGTGCTCTGAACATGTTATCAGGAAGGACCAGTCCCTGGAGAAGGACATCCTGCTTAGTAGAGTAGAGGGTCAGCGAAAGAGAGGAAGACCCTCAACCAGGTGGACTGACGCAGTGTGTACATAGGGTCGCTAAGAGTCCGAAGTGGCTCAACGGCACCTAGCAACACCATTAGATATGAGGAGTCCCTGGGGGCATAAATGGTTAAACACTCAACAACTAACCAAAAGGTTGGCGGTTCAAACCACCCAGAGGCACCTCAGAAGAAAGGCTTGGCGATCTGCTTCCCAAAGGTCACAGCCATGAAAACCCTATGGAACACAGTTCTATTCTGACATGTGGGGTAGCCATGAGTAGGAATCCACTTGATAGCACCTGGTTTGTTTTGGTGCTTATTAGGTATAAGGTACCGTGTCGGGGCTGTGGAGAATAAAAGATGATTAGGACACGAGAAGATATCATGTAAAGGAAGGAACAACAAATCTTTCTCCCTTTAAAACTATTGTTCAAAATGTTCTTGAAAACATTACACTGAGTGAAGTGAAGCAGTCACAAAAGGACAAATATTGTATGATCCCACTTACATGAAAGATCTAAAGTAGGCATACGCATGAGGACCAAAGCTTATTAGTGATTACCAGGGTCGGGGGGTGGAGGGGGGAGGCGGGACGGGGAGTATTCCTTCATGGGCATTGAGTTTGTTAAAGGTGATGGAAAAAACTGGAAACATAGTGGTGATAGTCTTACAACATGATGGGTATAATCAATGTCACTGAAATGCACTTGTTAAAAACGCTGAAGTGGTGACTACATCTTTGGTCTTGTTGTTATTGTTAGGTGCCGTCGAGTTGGTTCCGACTCATAGCAACCTTATGTACAACAGAACGAAACACTGCCTGGTCCTGCGCCATCCTCACAATTGTCACTATGCTTGAGCCCGCTGTTGTAGCCACTGTGTCAATCCATCTTTTGTCTTAGTCGTTTTTATTCTGCACAGCACCTGCACATAGCACATAGGGAGTTGGCTTTGGGAATGGTTTCAGTTCAGGGTTAACAGAGAATCTGGGGGCCATGTCTTCGACGGTTCCTCTAGTCTCCGTCAGACCATTAAGTCTGGTCTTTTTACTAGAATTTGAGTTTTGCACTCCACCTTTCTCCTGCTCTGTCAGGGACTCTCCGTTGTATTCCCTGTCAGGATGGTCATTGCTGGTAGCCAGGCACCATCTAGTTCTGGTTTCAGGCTGATGGATTCTCTGGTTTATGTGGCCCTTTTGTCTCTTGGGCTAACATTTTCCTTGTGTCTTTGGTGTTCTTCATTTTCCTTTGCTCCAGGTGGGTTGGGACAAATTGATGCATCTTAGATGGCCGCTTACAAGCTTTTAAGACTCCAGACGCCACTCAGCAAAGTGGGATGCAGAACATTTTCTTAATAAACTTTGTTATGCCAATTGACCTAGATGTCCCCTGAAACCATGGTCCCCAGACCCCAGCCTCTGCTATTCTATCCCTCAAAGTGTTTGGTTGTATTCAGAAAACTTCGTAGCTTTGGTTTAGGCCAGTTGCGTTGACTTCCCCTGTATTGTGTTGTCCTTCCCTTCACCTAAGATAATTCTTGTCTACACTCTAGTCAGTGAATTCCCCTCTCCCTTCCTCCCCACCCTCATAACCACCAAAGAATGTTTTCATCAGTGTTTAGACCTTTTCTTGAGTTCTTATAATAGTGGTCTCATACAGTATTTGTCCTTTTGGGACTGACTAATTTCACTCAGCATAATGCCTTCCAGATTCCTCCATGTTGTGAGATGTTCTTTATCGTTGTGTAGTATTCCATTGTGTGAATATACCATAATTTGTTTATCCATTTGTCTGTTGATGGGCACCTAGGAGTGAAAGGCATTCGAAGTCCATGGACTCCTTATACCTGTGCCTACGCAAAGGGGCTGTGCCTGCCCTGAGTTCTCCGCTTAGGGGAGCGGGCAGATTATTTTTTCCTGTTTGTTAATTTGTTTCCTCTCCAAAGCCTGGAGAATGGCTCAGAATGTGAGAAGTGTCCCACTTCCAGCCCAGGGGGCACAGCAATTGCTGAAGCAGGAGGGGACTGGAGCAGAGTGGGGAGGGGGCAGGTAAATGGGAGAGAGTTACTTCCCAGAGAGGAGAAGGGTTTTTTTGATCCTGAGCAGTAGGTTAGATGCTTGCATTTAACTTTAGAAGATCCAGCGCTGCTCTCCCCTGGTTCCGCAGGCCTGTGCAGACTCTCTGCTGGTCGGTCTCTCCCAGTGTGGAAAACATGTCCTGAGCACTACTGCTTGCCTCAGCCCGAGCACACCGCCGATCCAGCCTGCAGGGTGCCGGCCAGGCCAGGTCTGGCAAATCCTTGCTGCTTCTGAACTGTCTCTCCCTCCCCCAGTTGCTCAGCCCGACTCCTCAACTTTGTATTTGATGTTCAGGGCCTCTAGAGTGTCGTATATAATCAATTCACTTGTTTTTTTGGGTCTTTGTTGTAAGAGGGACCCCAGGAAGCATCTGACTACTCCACCATCCTGGCCCCACCTCTCCAATATGTGTATAAATTTTTGTATGAGAAATTAACTTGATCTGTAAACTTTCACCTAGCGCACAATTAAAAAAGAAGGAAAGAAATACTCCAAAAAAAAAAAAAAAAGAACGTGACTTGAAGCTGGGAAACCTAGCTAAGCGCAAAAGTGTTTTCGGTTCTCCGACTCTTTTGCCATAAAGTAGAGGCTGGGTCTCTGTGGGGACACGGGCTGTGCAGCATGCTCCTCAGAAGAATGGGCGAAGCTGAGTGTACACGCGCCCACGTGCGCCTGATGAGGTTGCGAGAGGGGATGTGGCTGGGCAGATGGCTGGCCTGCGGTGCGAGGCTGATTTCACTCTCCCTCCTTCTGGGCCCCTGCAGGTTCCCAGGTATGAAACTGGTGGAAAAAAGCCTGAGAAACCGTGGGATAACAAAAGAACACCGAATTTAACCAGTGGCTCTTGAGGCGCCTGAAGGAAAAAAAGAAAGGACTTTCAATGCCCACTGGCATGGAAAGAAGAGAAGCAGAGATCAACAGACACCAGGTACAATAACTGGATTTAGGAGGCAGCCCCGCTGAACACAGCTGAGCCCTCAGCGAGGTGCCGGAAGCACAGGTGACAGCCAAAGGGTAAAACGGGCTAGGACAGAAACCCAAACTCTGCTGCCCAATGTTTGTGACTATGACTTCTTTTTTCAAAGTAGACCCGTGTCTTAACAGCTGCCATATCAAAATACCACCAAATGGATGGCTCAAAAGGACAGAAACGTGTTTTCTCACAGTTCTGGAGGCTAGGAGTCTGAATTTAGGGCGTCAACTGGGCTGCTCCCCCTGCCCCTGCAACGGAAGCTCCTTCCTTGTCTCTTTCAGCTTCCGGAGGCCTCTTGGTATTCCTCAGCCTTGGCCTGCAGACGGATCATGAGCTGTGGCTTCCCCTGTGTGTGACTCTCCCTGTCTGCCCTCCCCTTTCATGACACACCACTCAGGAGGGACCCGCCCTGCCTACTTCAGGAACTGATAACATCTACAAACAAAAACCCTATTTTCCCAAACAAAGTAACATTTAACCTATCTTTTTGAGGGACAAAACTCAGTCCATAACAATCTAATAGATGAATAATTAAAAACAAAAAACCCTATGAATTTTGGGGCAGAGGGCTGTGGGGACCATGGTCTCAGGGAACATCCAAGTTAATTGGCAAAACACAGTTTATAAAGACAATGTTCTACATTCTACCTTGGTGAGTAGCGTCTGGGGTCTTAAAGGCCTGTGAGCAGCCATCTGAGACATTCCACTGGTCTCACCCCTTCGGGAGCAAGGGAGAATGAAGAGAACAGGATACAAGGAAAAGATTAGTCCAAAGGACTAATGGACCACAGCTACCTCGGCCTCCACCAGACTGAGTCCAGTACAGCCAGATGGTGCCTGGCTACCACCACTGACTGCTGTGACCAGGATCACAATAGAAGGTCCTGGACAGAGCTGGAAAAGGATGTAGAACAAAATTCTAACTCACAAAAAAAAGACCAGATTTACTGGCCTGACAGAGATTGGAGAAACCCAGAGAGTATGGCCCCCGGACACCCTTTTAGTTCAGTGGTGAAGTCACTCCCAAAGTTCACCGTTCAGCCAGGGATTGGACAGCCTCATAAAACAAAACAGGACTAATGAGGCACAGCAGTCCAGGGACAAGGACTAGTAGGCAGGAGGGGACAAGAAAGCTGGTGATAGTGAACCCAAGGTTGAGAAGGGACAGTGTTGACATGTCGTGGGGTTGTTAACCATTGTCATAGGGCAGTACATGTACTAACTGTTTAATGAGAGACTATTTGTTCTATAAACTTCACCTAAGGTACAAAAAAAAAAAAGAATTACCTACGTGAGATCAAATTGACAACAGCAACTCAAAAGGTTTGATGGGAAGCCTAGGGGGCAGTGAGTTGAAGATAATGGTGATGGAATAATTTGGAAAAGGGTAGTGAGAATAGCAGCACAACTGGAAAATGCAATCGATGTCACTGAATTGTACATGTGGAAACTTTTGAAGTGCTGTAACTTTGGCTATGTATATTTTCACCAAAAAAAAGGTCCTCCAAGGTCAAGAAAAGAGCGTGTTCACATGTCGTGGGGTTGTTAACCAATGTCATAAAACAATACGTGTACTGACTGTTTAATGAGAAACTATTTGTTCTGTAAACCTTCATCTAAAGTACAATAAAAAAATATAAAAAAAAGGAAAAAAACAAAAACCCCTAGATCCAACTCAGCAAGAACCATATTTCCTATTTCCTGAAAACTTAACATTTTGATTAAAATACCGATGAAATCTCATGACGGCACATCGATGATTTAGGAGGTTTTGGTCTAAAATTGTCTGAACATTTTTACAACTATGATTGTGGAAGCAGTCTTGCTAATCTTTGATAAACTAGAGAGGCATAAAGGAGAGATAAAAGATCAGACCTGGGCAAAGCTGGTCCCAGTTTTCGATGCAGTACGATTCCATTCACAGGCCCTTCAAACGTACCCCTGTGTTACTTAGGAATGGACATGACTGCTCTGACCGAGAGTCCAGTGCAAGTGACCCGCAGGGGTTCCAAAAGCAGGTCATAAAGGCAGTGCAACTTCCGCCCTGATGCTGGAACTCTCGCTCTGGGGTCCAGTGCGAGCCTGAGCTGATGTGAGACGACCTGAGGTCACCCAGCTGGAAATGCTTCAGATGATAGTGCCAGCTGAGCTCAGCCTTCCTGTCAACCCCCACAAGGGACCAGGTATGTGACTGAAGCTATTTCAGAATCTCTGGACAGATCCAGCTACCAAGTAACCCTGTCCATGTCATAAAGAATAAAAACATTACCCAGCTGAGCCTCGACCCCGAAAGTTAAAGAGATATAATAAATTGTTGGTTTGAAATGACTACACTTTGGGGCCGTGTGTTTTGCAACAATTGATGGTTGAAATACTTACCACACTCATTTCAACCCTCTTCTCCTCTGTCTTTCTCAATCCAAGGCACTGGAGAGTGGAATACTAGAATTCCAAGCCTCCTTTGCAGCTAGGCGTGGTCACATGACACAGTTTTGGACAATGAGATGTAGGCAGAAATCCCCAGGGAAGAACTCCCTTCCTGAATAAAAAGATAAATGCTTAAGAGAGCTTTTTGTTCTTTGCCCTTTGCCAATCCACATTCTTCTTGCCTAGAATGTGGATATGATGGTTTGAGGTTCTATACTATCCCTTGTTTGAGAATAAAAATCAACATAAATCCAATCCGCAAAATGTAAACATTAATCAAATCCCCACTTTCCCACATCTCAGTTATCTCTGACACCACCTGGAGCTGGGTCTGATCTCACAAGTTGAAAAAAACTCTGTCCTTTAGACTACCAAACAGGCAGATGTCAGTCATAAACTTGGGAGTTCTCACAACATCCTACTTCTGACCTGCTGGCTGTAAATTTGGGGTTTTCCCTCTACCCTTTCAGGGTGCCAGCTGTAAGCTCAGGAGCCTCCCCTCACTTCCACCTGCTGGCTCCTCATACTCCTCTGGGCTTGGTAATTTGCTTGAACGACTCATAGAACTCACAGAAAGTACTATACTTATGATTATAGATTTATTATAGCAAAAGGATGCCTATCAGGATTGTTATAAGGAAGAGATCCATGGGTGAGGTCTGAGAGGGTTCCCAACGTGGAGTTTCCATATCCCAAAGAGGGGATGTCACTCTCCCTTCACCAACCAGGAAGCTCTCAGGGCCTCTGGGTTCAGGGTCTCATTGGATATGCATGACAGGTTAAATCATGCCTCCTGAGGTTAGTTGACATGACCAGCAAGGGTCTTTCTGGTCTGACCAGCCCACACTCCTTAGCAAAAATTCTCCGGTGTGGTTTAGATAACAAAGGTGCCTCCATCAGGAAATTCCAAGGGTTCAGAGTTATCTTCTCAGGAAACAAGGGCAAGACCCCATTACTTTAGGTAAAGTTAAAGTTTTTACCCCACACTTTGTCAAGAGGATGAAAGCTAGATGCTAACAAAGAAGAGAAAGGAAGAGAGAAGGGGCATGTCCTTTATCTACCTCTGTATCTCTAGTTACCTGGAAAAAGTAAGATTCTCCTTGTTTAAGCCATTGTTTGTTGGGTTTTCTGTTAACTCACAGCCGGAAGCAATTCCAGCAGACAGAGTTTAGATAAATTAATTTGTAACAGACTGAATGACTGCAACCAAAGAGGTTTAATCAGGGCTGTCTTCAGGGGTGTGACCTGGGCAGTAACACAGAGGGGCCCTGTGCGTGGTTTAATGCCCTGCTGTCTTGAAATTCTTAATAATTTTTTAACAAGAGCTTTGCTTTTCCGTTTTGTACCGGGCCCCGCTCATCATATACCCAGTCTTTGGTTTAATGAATCAAGGTGACCCTAAATGGAATTTGTAAATTATCAGTAAGCTCTGTCCTCAAACCTGGCCACTCAACATTTTTATTAAAGTCACAGAAGAGGACATAGACGACATTATCAAATTAGTAAGTAGCACAACATTTGATAAACAGCCAATTGTTAGATGACAGACTTAATATATTAAAAAAAAACCTGAATAGTCATGAAGCCTAAATAAAGAAGAAGACATTTGGCAAGAGACAATGAGAAGCCTGTATCTGGATATACACTTTTATCCTCCCAGTACACAAGGTCAGGGTAGTTCATTTGGAAGGAACTCTGCTGCAGGTTTAGGGGGTTGGGGTTCTGCTACTGCCACCACTGTGTGCCTTAAGGAAGTCACCAGTTTTGGGGGTCAAGATATCTTCTCTGCATCATAAGGGGTTTAGCTGAGTGACCTTGGATGGATCTGATGATTCTAAGTGAGCTACTGACTGACTGAGGCTTGGAAATCTTTTTGCCATATAGTGATATTTGTGGTGATAATATTTCATCTGGGAAGGAGCAATGCATATATCTCCTTAAATGCTGAGGCGGGCATGCAGAAGGTGGGCGAGTTAGAATTGGTGCCCACTGGTCTTGCCTGACCTTCTTTACCCCAGTGCTACACACACACACACACGCAGACACACACACACACAGATACACACGCACACACACAGAGACACACACAGAGACACACACAGACGCATAGACACATACACACACAGAAACACACAAACAGACACCTACGCACACAGTCTTGTTGAATGTCATCTTGATTTGGGCTTCGTGACGATTTAGGTTTTAAAAAATATTAAATCTGTCATCTAACTAGTTGACTGTTTATATATATATGCATATAATGTTTATAAATAAAATATTCTACATGATATTTATGAATAATTTGATTTTTTATCACATTTTATTAGAGTCACCCGGAACAGGCCACATTATCCAATAATGATTTGTAAATAATAAACTCCTGATGAGAAAAACTGATGCAATATGTCACTAACATTTCAAAAAATGTGGTTACTTATTGAAGAGTTAAAAAACAAAACAAAACAAACCCGCAATAAACCAGAATCCAGGCACCCCACTACTACTGGTATCAAAACAGAATCTACCACGTCTTATGATCAGGATTAAATGCGGTGATCCGAGCAAAGCGCTTGGGACGGAGGAATACTCAGGAAATGAGTTCTTACAAAAATACATTCTTTACCTAAACAAAGAAACAAACAAAACCGAACTCGCTGCCATCGGGTCGATTCCGACTCATAGTGATCCTGTAAGACAGCGAAGAGCAGAACTGCCCCCTAGGGTTTCCAAGGACCGGCCGGTGGATTCGAACTGCCGACTAACCACGGGGTTTAACCACTGCACCACCAGGGCTCATGCCCAAAACGATGCGCCATAAAATCCTCCTTGGCATCAAGGAAGTGAAATTCAAGGAAACTGAATCAATAAGAGCCAGCCAGATATGAAGGCTAAGATATTAGAGCCCATCTTTGAGCTGAGAGAACACGAAAGAGGCCAGAGTCAGAGCAGAAAAAGGGCTGCAAACTTGGTTTCCATTTCACCGTAAAGTATAAAACCCATTGCCTTGGAGACTACAAAATGGAATTCTCTCAAACGCATCCAGACAGCAACGGGGCGGTAGCAGGACAACTATGAGGTGATGGCGCCACCTGCTGGTTATTAGGCAGTAATTCTGGGACAGCTGAGGCTGATTTCTTGGGGGATGTGATGAGGAGGGTAAACCTTGCTGGTGTAATGATTAAGAGCTAGCGCGGCTAATCAAAAAGTCAGCGGTTCAAATCCACCAGGCGCTCCTTGGAAACTGCATGGAGCAGTTCTACTCTGTCCTAGAGGGTCGCTGTGAGTTGGCATCGGTTTTGGTTTTTGGTGATGAGGAGGAAATAATGAATTATTAATGCTTTCCTTGTATGTCTGTAAGGCGATCTTTGCCAGCGCCCGTGTGCTCAGCAGGTAATATTAACATTATAAGTGATCGTAACACACGAGGTGATTTCTGCCGTGCACAATAATGCGTTTTTGCACTTCAGCATAGGATACTAGGGGAAACACACAGACCTTGTGTTCCCAGCACAGCCTAACGTGGAAAGAAAGTGGGCTCGAGAGTTGCTCCCTGAGTTCTAATCTCAGTGTGGCCACCTACTGGGTAGTCCCGGGAAAATTACTAAATTGCTCTGAGCCTCGGTTTTCTCGGCTGTAGAAACAGCTAATAACAGGGTCATCATTCAGGGTTTGCTTACTCCTGGGAGGAGTCCTGGGGTGGTGCAAACAGTTAATGTGCTCAGCTGCTAACTGAAAGTTTGGAGGTTTGAGTCCATCCAGAAGCACCTTGGAAGAAATGCCTGGCGATCCACTTCCAAAAACTCAGCCACTGAAAACCCTAGAGAGCACAGTTCTACTCTGACACACATGGCTCGCCAGGAGTCGACTTGACCACACCTGGCGGTGTTACTCCTCGGAGCGGGCAGTGGCTTAAAGACTTTTCAAAGGCTTTGAAGGCACATGAAATGTTTCCAGAGAACTGGTTTCCAGATCCTCAATGCCACTTGCTCTCTTTTCTAAAACTGATCTGCCTGAGAGCTGAGGGGTGGTGTCATGCGGGCTATCAGCACCCCTTCCTCCTTAGTAACCACCCTTCTACTTCACCCCTTCCTCCTGCGTAATTACCCTTCTCCTCCTTCACCCCTTCCTCCTGCGTAAACACCCTCCTCCTCCTTCACCTACTTTCCATCTTTCTAAAGTGTACTCCCCCCTCCCCGGGGGAGGACTCCTGAGGCCCCACACAGAGGAACAAATGGATTAAGACACCTGTGATGAGAACGTCTTGTCCAGTCAGGGAGTTTCCCATGCACTGTTTTAATCAAATTGAAGGAAAACCACATTCACTTCCTAGTTCTGTTCCTGAGTCTGTCTTTACATCCAATTTGTAGGTAAATCCGAACAGTTAGATATGGTTTGTAGCTAACATCAGTTAGTCAAATGTTTGTCTTAGTATATAGTTTATAGTGTACCTTTCTATGCATAAAAAAATTAAAGAAACACTTCCAGGTACACTAAAACATCTATAACATAATAATACCCCCCAAAAAATCAGTTGAGTAGATTCTGCCTCATAGTGACCCCATAGGACAGAGTACAACTGCTCCATAGGGTTTCCAAGGAGCGGCTTGTGGGTTCCAACTGCCAACCTTTTGGTTAGCAGCCAAACACTTAACCACTAGGCCACCAGTGCTCCAACATAATAATATAGTAATAATAATAATAATGTTTTGATGTGCGTCACAAAATAGCGCCCACTTGTTATTACAAACCATCAAATGGACCTTGAATTGTCAGTATAATAGGCTTTTTGCGGGGGTTGGTTCGTAACTATGGGTTGTATGTAGGTCATAGGTAAGACATCCGTAACCTAGGGACTGCCTGTACCACAAAGTGGGTAGCTTATAAATACAGAAATTTATTGTCTGACAGTTCTGGGGGCTGGGAGTCCAAATCAGGGTGTTGGCTGCATCGATCCCTTCTGAGGGTCAGAGGGAGACTCTGTTCCATACCTCTCTCCTAGCTTCTGGTGACAGCCCACAATCCTTGGTGGTCCCTGGCTTACAGGACACCTTCTGAGGGTCAGGGGGAGAATCTGTTCCATACCTCTCTCCTAGCTTCTGGTCACGGCCGGCAATCCTTGGTGGTCCTTGGCTTACAGGACACCTTCTGAGGGTCAGGGGGAGAATCTGTTCCATACCTCTCTCCTAGCTTCTGGTCACGGCTGGCAATCCTTGGTGGTCCCTGGCTTACAGGACACCTTCTGAGGGTTAGAGGGAGAATCTGTTCCATACCTCTCTCCTAGCTTCTGGTGATGGCTGGCAATCCTTGGTGGTCCTTGGCTTACAGGACACCTGTCTCTGTTGTCACGAGACCATCTTTCTCTGTCAGTCACTGTGTCTCTTCTCTTTTACAAAGAAAAAATATGAATTGATTGTTACAAAGAAATCCTCCATCTTATTAAGAGATGTAGTTCCAATAAAATTACTTTTGACATTTAGTAAATATCAAAATTTGTAATACATAAAATTTAAAAAGTATATAAAAATTTGTATTATAGAAAATGTGTAATATATTTTTGTTGTTTCAATCAATTGTATGGTATTGATAATTGTAATGGCAACTTAATCCAAAAGAAAGAAAAATTAAACCTTATAACCTTACGAGTACAGGAAACTGAAAAAATTTCATATATATACAATCTTATTGGAGAGAAATGATAGGTGATCAACAGGAGATCTTCAAGCATATATTAAGATAAAATTTTGCAGGCACTGTGAAATGGGAAGTTGAGGGAGAAAAAGGAATGATGGAAAATTTCTGACTGTCAGAGTTTGTTCTCATTTTGTGAATGGCTGACCGTGGGTATCAAGTCACTGGGGTGTTCGACTCCAGCAGACACACTGAAAAGAGCCAACCAGGAGATTTATCGGAAAATGTCAATATCTACAGTACAGGAGAAATTACATCCTTTGCAAATACTTAAACCTAGGATGAAAAATGTTTTTAAAAATGTTAAAACTAAAGACAAAAGTAGAGACAGTGGATCAGCGGTTGCCAGGGCGTCAGGGGGAGGGGAGGGGTGAACAAGGGAGCACGGGGCATTTTTAGGGCAATGAAACTATTCTGCATGATACTGTCATGGTGCACACATGACATTATGCATTTGTCAAAACCCAGAGCACTGCACAAAACCAAGAGTGAACCCTAATATAAACCATGGACTTGAATTCATAAGAATATGTCAATATGAGTTCATCAATTGTAGCAAATACACCACATGATGTTCCACGTGATATACGACCCCGTGTACAACAGAAGGAAACACTGCCCGGTCCTGCGCCATCCTCACAATCGTTGCTATGTTTGAGCCCATGTTGCAGCCACTGTGCCAATCCATCTTGAGGGTCTTCCTCTTTTTCGCTGACCCTCTACATTCTTCAAGGATTTCACTGGCCAATTTCTTTAGAAGTAGATCTCCAGGTCCTTCTTCCTCGTCTGTCTCAGTCTGGAAGCGCCGCTGAAACCTGTCCAGCACAGGTTTGTATTTGAAACACCGGTGGCATAGCTTCCAGCAACACGCAGACCACCACAGCACAACAAACAGACAGAAGGGTCAGTAGTTAGTAGCCGAGTTCAAATCGCTGGCACCAGCCAGCAACTACCCCCGTGAACACAAGAGGTTAATAGGAGAAGCAGGACATGTTAAAACCATGTGTGGGAGGAGGAAGTTGTTTCAGAATTTTTCTAGGCTGTGCGTGGACCAAGGACGTCCCGTCACCCCTGCTCCTGAGAGGTACGTGGTAAAGTGCTTTTAAAAATCTCCCAGGCGGTGAACACAAGGTGAATAGCTTGGTCCTGTTCCATAATAGTTTTCTCACAAGTGTTCATGCGCATGCTTTTAAGAAATCATCTGTTTTTGTCAGGATTATTTCAGTGTCAGTAACCAAAGCCTGATTCACTGGATTAAGCAAAAAAAGAATTTATTCGCTTACTAACCGAAAAGGCTGGGTGGCTGGACCCAGATGCTTCAGGAACATTGTCAGGACTCCATTTCTCTCCAGCCATCCTGGCTCTTCTCTGACGGTTTCCCTTCTAGGGTGACTCTCCCCTGTGGCAGCAAGATGGCTACCGGCAGCCCTGGCGCCCTCCCTGGATCCTGGTGCAGGGACGGACGCCCTGGGTGGTACAAACGGTTAAGGCTGCACTACTGACTGAAAGGTCGGAGGTTCGAACCCACCCAGAGATGCCTCAGAAGACAGGCCTGGCGATCTGCTTCTGAAAGGTCACAGCCTTGAAACCCCGATGGAGCGTACTTCTACTCTGCACACACGGGGTCACCATGAGTCAGAATCAACTCCACATTAAATGACAACAGTGCAGAGACTTCTCTCTCCCAAGAGCTTCAGGGAAATTCCAGGGATTGGGTCTGTTTGGCCTGCCCTGTGTCACGTGCCCTATTGTAGGGGAAAAACCTCGTAAGTTTAGTGACGCAAAATGTAAGTTTTACTCGGCCTATATTCAAAAGGGTAGAAGTAGGAAACAGACAAGCATGCTGCCAGAGCCATGTCTGCCCGAGTCCAAGGAAATACCACAGAACAGACGAAAGTGGGAAAACGGACGAGCTTGCTACCACAGCCATGTCTGTCCAAGTCCAAAGAATATAATAGGCAAGAATGGGAAAACGGACAAGCATGCTGCCAGAGCCATGTCTGTCCGAGTCCAAAAGATGGTTACAGAGCCATCAGTATATATCAACATTACACATGGGTAGAATCATTGAAAGCTTAGCCTTTTCAGATTGGCTAGAAACTATGATCCTACATTTTGAATCGTCTTTCTTAACAATCATGGGTACAGGTTTCAGTAATGACAGTCAGGAGGGTCTTCACTGGTCCAACAAATTTCTAGTCACTAAATGCTAATAGAAAAAGGTAAGAGTGGAAAGTCTTTTGTGCTCTCTTTGATTGGCTCTATGTGAAAGTTTCCCTAAAAGATATTTTCCAAGAGTATCTTAGCTATTGTCTTTATACCTCAGGGCCAGTTGATGTGTCCTTGTGAGTCCTTGTGAGCCCAGCTCCAGCTGAGTCACATTCTGTATGCTCAAGGAGAGGGAATAATAACTCCAGTATTATTTCCTAAATCAGCCCATCCCTGAGCCAATCACTATGGCCATGGAAAAGGAATGCCCTGATTGGCTAGGCCTGGGTCAAGTGCCCGCCGCTGGCTCTGGGGAAATGGGGTCAGCTTCGAGATTCAAACCACCTGAACTGAGAGAGAGGGACGGGTGATTCCTTAGAATCAAGAATCCTAGCAGCAGGAAGAATGGACAATGGATGAGCTGAAGCCATGGGAGGCCTTTGTATAATCTATTAATGGGCAAGAATTCACTCAGTTGTAGGCCCATGTTAATCACGGATCTTGTCCGTTATTTAATGCATGTTCATTGAATGAGTTAATATATGAAACGTGCTTAGGACAGTGTCTACCCGTTGCTGTTGGCCTGACTCCGACTCATAGTGACCCTACAGGACAGAGTAGAACTGCCCCACAGGGTTTCCAAGGAGCGGCTGGTGGATTTGAACTGCTGACCTTTTGGTTAGCAGCCGAGCTCTTAACTGCTGTACCACCAGGGCTCCAGAACAGTGTCTAGGACAAATGTTAGCTAGTGTCTTAGGTCGGGATTGCTAGAAGCAGAGCCTGAGAGAAGGATTCTTGTTCAAGCGACTTACTGAGGGGACGGTCTCAGGAGAAGGAGTGAGGAAGGCAGGATAGAGCAGAGGGGACAGTTAACTAAGCAAGGGTGTGGCTTTAGCTGGAGACTAGTGTTATTGATTGAATTGTGTCCCCAAAAAAGGTGTGTTGGAATCCTAACCCCTATACCTGTGAGTGTCATCTCATTTGGGAATGGTGTTTTCTTTGTCATGTTAGTGAGGCCGTATCAGTGAAGGAAGTGCTTAAGCCAATTACTTTGGAGATATAAAAGGAGCAGATTAGACACAGAGAAGGAAGCACAAATGGGGAAGAGATAGATGCTGTCATGGATTGAATTGTGTCCCCCAAAATATGTGTCAACTTGGCTAGGCCATGATTCTCAGTATTGTGTGGTTGTCCACCATTTTGTCATCTGATGTAATTACCTATGTGTTGCAAATCCTAAACTCTATGATGTTAATGAGGCAGGATTAGAGGCATTTATGTTAATGAGGCAGGACTCAAATCTACAGAATTAGGTTGTATTTTGAGTCAATCTCTTTTGAGGCATAAAGGAGAGAAGCGAGCAGAGAGGAGAGGGATCTCATACCACCAAGCAAGAAGCTCGGGAGTGGGGAACGGGGTCCCTGCATTGAGAATTTCCTAGTCCATGGGAAGATTGATGACAACGACCTTCCCCCAGAGCTGACAGAGACAGAAAGCTTTCCCCTGGAGCTGGCACCCTGAATTCGGACTTCTAGCCTCCTAAACTGTGACAGAATAAAATTCTGTTTGTTAAAGCCATCCACTTGTGGTGTTTCTGTTACAGTAGCACTAGATAACTAAGATAACTAGGTAACTGATAACTAAGATACTGTTAAGGATTGAATTGTGTCCCTCCAAAAATGTGTGTCAATTTGGCTAGGGCATGATTCCCAGTATATTATGTGATTATCCGCCATTTTGTCATCTGATGTGATTTTCCTATGTGTTGTAAATCCTACCTCAATGATGTTAGTGAAGTGGGATTAGTGGCAGTTATGTTAATGACGCAGGACTCAATCTACAAGATTAGGTTGTGTCTTAAGTCAATCTCTTTCGAGATATAAAAGAGAGAAGCAAGCAGACAGACATGGGCACCACATACCACCAAGAAACAAGAACCAGGAGAACAGCACATCCTTTGGACCTGGGGTCCCTGTGCTGAGAAGCTCCTAGACAAGGGAAGACTGATGACAAGGACCTCCCCCTAGAACTGACAGAGACAGAAAGCCTTCCCATGGAGCTGGTGCCGTGAATTCAGACTTCTAGCCTCCTAGACTGTGAGAGAATAAATTTCTGTTTATTAAAGCTATCCACTTGTGGTATTTCTGTTACAAGCAGCACTAGATAACTAAGACAGATGCCATGTGGAGATCGCCAAGGAACCAAAGTTACGGAAGCTGAGACAAAGCTTTTCTCTCAGAGTGGAGGGACAGAGCCCTCCCTCAGAGCCCGTGCCCTGAATTCAGACTTCTGACCTCCACAGCTGTGAAAAATAAGCCTCTGCTCTTTGAGGTCACCACTTGCGGTACTTCTGTTACAGCAGCACCAGCAAGCTAAGACAAACAGCTTCCGCTGAATCCCGTGGGGAGCTCTGGAGCCTGAACTGCACCCCCGAGCAAGTTCCACTTTGAGGCAAGGGGGCTGGCCTGTGTACCCCTTTGTCAGGCA